GTTCAGCTCCAAGCACTCACCAAGAAGATTCCAGAAGAATCTTACAGACTTAAGAAGAGGAGATTCTTACAGACTAAACGGTTGGTTTTGCCCATACACACAGCACTACAGATCTATAGATAGACTTCTGATACAATTCAAGTTGTTATAGCTTACAAGTCAGGGTTTCTGCAGTCCCACAAACTCTTCCATAAAATCAGTCCCTTCATCTCTTTAGGAGAAAAACAGCCCAATTTTGAAATGCCTGTTGCCTGAATCTCAGGCCTCAATATTTCTGAAGGTTCTGTCCCTGACACACATTTCTAGGAGGTAATATCTCCTCCTGTTAGACAAATTAGGAACTAAAAATTAACACTTTCAATTAAATGTAACAGCAAGTCTGATGTACCAAATTACATTTTCTTCTTTTTTTTTTTTTTTTTACACCGATGGCTTTGATTCTCACTTTCTCAGACTCATTATGTTAACAAAGGATATTTGAATTACTAAATCCTTAATTTATCCAACCACAAAACACAGTTTTACTGAGGGATCTCAAAATTATCTGTGTTTATATCTGAATGAAAACCTTCTCAAAAGGTAAATAAGTCTGAATAATCAATTGCAGAACTAATAAAGTATAATATATGGCCAAATGTAATTTTAAACAAATGAAAAAAAAGAAAGAAATATTCAGAATTCAGTTTTTGAAAGAATATTGAGAGCAATTAAAGCTTTTGTTCTTTGGGACTGGCTTTTTTTAATATGCTTAAGTCTCCAGTTAAAGCCTATAAGAGTTTTGGCTAAGTAATGAACCTGTAAGAATGCAGCATGTGGCTTTTCATACAAAAAAAAATTACAATATTTCACTGGAGGATTCAATATTTTTAACAGATAACTTAACAATTCACTTTAAAAAGTATTTCTGTGAGTGACTTATAAAATGGATCAATATTCCACGTTATATGGAAGTGTTGAATTTTTTATGCACCTGATTAATGCATTGTTATCATCCCAGTAATTAAAAGGAGCGGCATTACACACAATCAGCATGATACATCTTACTCAGCACCTCCTGGCAGTTGCCTGCAAAAATTAAACTCATTAATCACTGTGATGCCAAGAAAGAAGCCTGGAAAAGATGAAGAAGCTCTATTTTATGGGAAAACAGTTCTCAAGTCAACATGTAGGAGAAAATCCCTTCCACTCTACAATATGCAAAGCATTACACTCATCAGTCTAAAAGGCAAACCAATCAAAATTACCATTTCAAAGGTAACCTCATCAATCTAAAAAAGAGAATTATGCTAACAAAATTGTATAACCTGCTATACCACCACATTAAACTGAATGAAGAGTTCTCAGAGATGTTTCCTCATCTAAATAAATGTAGTAAAAAGCTAATTTTATAACGAGGTAAATATGTATTCTGAATTTTGTTTAAAGCTGTTTTAATAACTTTAATATCAATGATGCCACAGAGCCAACTAGGAAGTGTTTTTCAGGGGTCATTTATACAGAACCTAGTTTCTTTATTAGTCTTCTTGTAAATAACATTAATGTCTCATCAGATGAACAATTAATATGAACATTTTGCAAGACTTAATCCAGATTTTGTACAGTAGTTAGATCTACTATATATATTTTTTTTCATATACCTGCCACAAGTTGAATCATAGTAAAAACTTTAAAATTCTAAAAATCATAATAAGAATTTAAAATTCAAATGAATGCTGTGACCTCTACTTTGCTGTATTTTTATGTTACTAAAACAATATTCTCAAGTGTGTCTTAATGGTGCCTGTAGGTCAGCAGTTGTCATATAAAATCATTATTGGTTTTGATTTTAATTTTCTTAGGGAATTACTACCTCCTTTTAACTCTTTACAGATTTCAAGCAGTATTTTTCCATCAGTAGTACTTCCAGTGGACAGAATGCTTACTTATAATACTGTGACCTTCAAAGGCAACATCCTGTCTTTCCCTCTGTTTTGTTCTGCATTGAGCTCTGTGCTGGTGCTTAAAAATACAGCACACATATTTCAGTAGGAAAAGTCATCATCAGTAACCCATAAAATACACTCAGTTCTCTCCCTTTTATTAATCACATGACAAAGTTAGGAACAGAACAGTCTCATTCTCTGGTTTGTTTTGATAGTTCCAAGCGCGGGAAGGGAGAAAATCCTTTGTTTCTATATGTTTAAGTTCTAGATTCTCCTAATACATTGATGCCAAAAGATGAAAGAAAAGATGAAAGACAATGTGAATGCCCCAGTTGTGCAAGACAGAAAACAGAAGTCTGATCTTAGGAAAGATTTTCCAGTGCTGTCTCCCTAAGCCCTTCCCCATGATGAGCAATAGCACGTACTCCTGGCACCCTGCACAATCAGACCACTCTCCTTGGACCTGTCCCATGCTCTTTGCCTCACTTTCCCCCTTCCCTCAAGGCTGTCATGCCCAGGGCTGCATTTGCTCATCCTGAGCGAGCCTGACTGCTGCCACAGACAAGGGCGAGATGTCACTGTCAGCTCGCCCCAGCACTGTCCTGGGAGTGTTTGGAGAGCAAACAGCTCCTCCTGACCCTGGACAGCTCCTTCTAACCCGGGACAGAAGAGCTTCCATCTCGGACAGCCCCTTCCGATCCAAACGGGAGGGGTTGGGCACCCTGGACAGATCCTCCTGACTTGGGACAAGAGGGGTTCAGAACCTTGGACAGCTCCTTCTGACCCGGGACAGGAGGGGATCGGCACTGCAGACAGCTTCTCCTGACCCAGGACAGAGGGGTTCGGAACCTCGGACAGCTCCTTCTAAACCGGGACAAGAGGGCTCGGTATTTCGGACTGCTCCTTCTGACCCAGAAGGAGCCAGGGGTTCGGCACCCCGGACAGCCGCCCCAGTCCCACCCCGCTCCGGTTCAGCACCGCGGACACGTCCATCCTCCCGCCCCCTCCTGCCGGCGCCTGGACCCGCAGGCCGGACTCCGCTCCCTGAAACACGCGATTTAAAGACATTTCCACTGGTTTGTCACGACTTCATCCTCCCGACCTCAACGGGAGAGACCACCAGCTCAGGTTTCCCAGTCTCTGCTGAAGGGCACCCCTGTGAAATGCCGAGCCACTTTCTAGGACAGATTGCCCCTTTTAGAAACAATCACATTAAGTGTCCACGTGCGTTAAAGTGTCACCCCAAATCCCTGCTTCTGGGCACACTTTTTTTGCATTTTGTTGCAGAAGACACCAGGGAGGCACAGACAGCAGTGTCCCTCAACCGTGCCCAGCAGTCACTGGGCACCCACTGAGGGGATGGGGGAAGAAAAGAAAGGGGGGGGAGGGGGGAAAGAAAGAGAGAAAAACTTTCCTTACAGAAGTTAAAGGATATTATTATTATTACTCTGGAGCCTGTCAGCAGAAATCCCTCGCACATGATAAACTGCAGGCTTTCCTCTGCTTCCGCACTCAGCGCTTCTGGTGACCAGAGAAGCGGCTCCAGACATCTGCTGTCTGCAAGTCCAGGAAAGTGGAATTAAAACAATGAGGAAAATGTGCCTGAGCCCAGCCCTGGAGGTGGCACTCCGCTGGCTCGCAGCGACACCTAGAGCCCAGTACACGGCCGGGAAGGGCCCCGTGTCCCCAGCCACACCGGGAGAGAGTCACCAGCGGGTACGGGCACCCGGCGAAGGGCCCGGTGTCCTCCTGCACCTGGCCAGGGCGAAGGGGCAGCAGTGCCAAGATCGTGAGGGAGTCACAGGGAAGAGTCAATTCAGGTCCCTGTCACTGCTGTCCCTCGGGCTGTCAGCATTCAGTCACCTCGGGGAGAGGTGTAGGTCGATTGGCCCCATCACTGACATAAGTGCACTTGCTCTATGGACCACAAAAGTCTTTACAAAAGGACGGGAGAATTGACAGGGATTTAAAAGATAAAGCGAGGGCATTTCCCTGCATACACAACTCTCTCCTCTGAGTGAAGCAGCCCTGCTGTTGTGGCTTGAAGCTGTGCCTTGCTTGGGAAGGCTCCCAGAGCCAAAGCTAAATCCTGCTGCAAAACTAACGCGTCCCACTCGGGCAAGAAGTATTTTTAACAGACACAAGCATTATTCCCAGCTGCAGCCATTTGCTTCCCCTTGTGTGTGCTTCCACAGAGGCAAAACACACTCAAATCCCTCTGCAAACCTAACACCAGCCTGCCATGCGGAGCCACACGTTTTCATCTATCACTGGCCCTTGTTCTCTGAGTCTGTCCCCCTCCTCGCCACCCCAAAAGAACCAGCAGCAATCGACCCGGACTAGTTTAACTCCATCGGACACAGCAGCAGCCAGCGGCCTGGATTAGTCACTCGTTACTAAGGCGATATGCAGATGCACCCATTGAAAGAGAGGAAGGTGCGCGGCCGAAGTTTTCGGCTTCCCCGTGGGAGCCCGCCCGGGGGCAGCGGGGAGGGGGCACAGAGAGACCCCGAAACGGCTGCTCAGGGGTTAAAAACTTTCCCTGCTGCCAGCTTAGGAGGAGGCTGACAGGAAGGCGATGAGGGAGGCACAAGGTAAAGACTTCTGCCCCGGGAGAGTGTTAAAGGATAAAGCACGGAATAAAAATTAAAAAAAAAAAAAAATAAAAAGGAAAAAGAGAATGGGGAGCTTTGTCGCGCAGCTTGGGGGCAGCAGGACAGAGCTGGCACCTGGCGTTTCCCAAGGTGCTGACCCCGCGCCCCCAGCCCCGTTCCCGGGAGCGCAGAGCCGCGCAGGGAGCTCGGTACCGGGAGAGCTGCGGGGCCAGCGCGGGGCGGGCGGGTCCCGGCTCCGCTCGGCTCCCGGCGGGCTCCGTCCCGCACCATCCCCGGCACTCCAGGGCAAGAGGAGCAGCGCAAAAGACCCGCCTGGAAAGACGAGCGGACAAAACCGCAAGAAATCGCTGCCAGCTTAGAGGGGCACACAGCCATCCCGCAGGACAGGGGGCGGGGAGGGGGGGGCACCCAAAACCCAACCCAAAACCCAACCCAGCCCCACGCGAAGCACAGCGGCGCTTACATCCTCCTCCTCGCAGTCACTTCGCGACTGGTACTGGAAGCGGGGCCGGCCGCCTTCCTGTTGCAATGGACGCGGGGTCTTGCCGGCAGCGCCGTCCTCCTCGCTGCTCTGGGCGCCCAGGAGGTGACTTGCTTCGGGGGGAACGGGGAACGAGCGGGAGGTGTTGATCTTCCCGCTGAACCGCTGGTACAGCGAAGCCATGAAGTCAATCCGCGGGAAGCGAGGGAGAGGGAGGGCAAGAGAGCCGCTTCTTTTTTTTTTTCTTCCCCTCCTCTCTTCTTTTTTGGCTACAGCATGCTACACATGAGGGTGAGGATCAGTCCCACATCAGTGGGAGGGAGAGAGAGGGATGCTGCTCCCCAGTCCTCTGCACCGGCACCCGGAGAGAAGCCGGGGGGTTCAAGAGAGCAGAGACGGGGGAGTGATGAGAGGAAGAAGAGAGAAGATAGATAAATAAATAATAAAACGCAATCGAGCCGTAACACCACAGGCCCCGGGAACGCTGCACCATCCAGTGTTGGGAAGGAAAAAAAAATAGAAGAGAAAAAAAAAATAACCAAAACACTCCACGAAGACGTACCCCCGATAATGGCGCCTGAGTGGATCAGCATTAAATGTGCTTTGGGGGTGTGCGTGTGTGTTTGCAAAAGCAGGGAGGAAAAAAAAAAAAAAAAAGGAAGGGGGGCTGGCTCAATCGCTGGCTGTCAGCGGCTCCCCAGGCAGAGGTGGCGGAGCAGTCGCCTCCGAGGTCGCATACCAACAGTGTGCACAAGCGAGAGGCAGAGTGACAGAGTGTGTGAGACGGAGTGGAAGAGGCTGGGAAGCCTCATTCAAAGCACGTTGCTCTCCCAGGGAAGGAGGGCTCTTCTACGATCATCTCCTTTTCGGTACCTTCTGGGGATTTTTTTTCTT